GCCAAGGTAGACGGTTTTCATGCAGGTATTTTCAACCTTATGAAGTATTGATTGTAGTAAGTGCTAAAACTGATAAATACATGAAGAAAAATCAATCAATTTCGATCAGTCACGCACAAAGTTATCGATCTTGAGAGGACACCGTCAAACGGTGACAGACGTGAGCTGTTTATGAAATATTAGTGTCGTGACCTCAAACAACTGTACAATTGGACAGCAGACACCTTAAAACTTCTTAAATTCAAAGGTCAAACTTAGACTGTTGGAATAAGTATACTTGGGTGTACTGAAGTTGACCAGTGCAAATATTTGCTTTTCGGACCCGTGAATAGTTGGAGAGTGACAATTTGGAATGTGATAGACGATACTAACAGAATACTGTTTCGTAAATGGAAAGCAAAGTGAGTATTCTTACCTTTTTTCTAAGAAATTTAGGTTTTATCATATTGTTCCTTTTTAATGTCGCACATGACCGTTTGATAGTTGACATGCTTATATGTTTCGGAAACATTTTATCCAGAAATAAGGAGCAGGGAGGAGTAGTGGCGATACCGTGGGGGTCGAGGATTGAGTGCTAGGTACCAAATGATTAGAAGATACGTGCATACTACACGTATAGATAGGGCCGGGATGGCTCAGGATCACCTCACGTTGGTACCTTGGAAGAGGGAAGTGGAAGAGAGGGAGGGGCTGGTATATGACGGGTGGATGAAAGGCACTTGGCCAGTGAAACCTGTGTTATACCATACTGATACTCGAGTAGAAAGGGGAGGAGTAACGGAGTAGGGGAAAGTAAATGGTAAACCATATTTCATATCTGGAATAAATGACAGAGAAGCCGGAGGGCTGGGTTGAGGGTAGGGATAGAATGGTCAGGCAAACACGTATTATTTATCATAGACGTAACATCTGATAGATAAAAGATGGGAATGTAGAATAAGGATAAGATGGGGTTGGAGTAGGGGTGTGGGGGTGGGGATGGTGGTGGGTGGGGTGGGTTGGGGGCTGGAATGGGGGTGGGGGGGGGAGGAGAGGGAGGTAAGTAACAGAGGCGTGGACTGATACACGTCATACATGTCCTACATTGTGCTTGATGTGTTTTACTGGATTGTAATAGGGACTTTTACCTGGGGTAGAGTTTAGTGGGTAGTGGTTCAGAAATATCTATCACACAACACTGCTATTAGGATTAATTGTCATTAAACTTCTGTCTATTTTTGCCCTATAACTAGGTTTGTATGTTGATCGATACCATTTCAAAGCAGACGACATCGTGCTCTGTTTTCTAACAGAATGATCGCGTCCCGGTGATTTATTGATAGTTCATGTCACATACGTGTAAATACTGAGGTACCGGTTATAATCCCCGCTCAAATCGCCATTTATCATCGTTAAATGGAATATGAATGCATGTTTAATAGCAAATCTTTGATAAATTATTTCAAATTTGAGACAAAAAGATAGGTTAAGAATTTCTCTTTTCAAAATATTCAATTTTCCAGAGCACACTGACAGCTTGTCACCCAGTGTACATCTGTGTCAACTGTCCAATGAACCAGGGTTCTGTATACAAATGTCTGTTTGTATGTGTGTCAATCAATAAAGGACTAATTATACCATCAAATCAAGACATAGATTATTGTAGGACACTCTTCCAAACTCAAATCAATGTTCAATCTCATTTCCGGTCTAAGGAGGAAGCACATTAGCAACGAACATCGCGCGAAACCTCATAAAATGGCGTACAGACAATGACATCTGTCGGATTCACGGTAATCCGATTATTCACAGGATATAAGTTTTAGTCGTTATTGATTGACGCCGTGACAAATGCATTCATAAAAGAAAAAAAGAAAAGAAAAAATGGTGGTGGCTGAAGGAGGGGAGAGGATTAGGGGTTGGGGGTTGGGGGTGGGGTTGGTGGGGGGGAGGGGGTGGGGGCGGCAAAACAACCCAACACGATAGCTCTAATTGATATTCTTTGATATGTAACATAGTACTTGATACAGTGTTACATAATTTTACGATATTTTCCACAGCTTTATCGTTGGTGTTACATGGCTTTATACCGGGAGAACGCACGTGGATTATGTACGCTAACTTACTAATAGTATGTACATAAACTAAAATATCAAGTGTGATAACTGTTACGCCGAAGTCCATGTTTACTCATTTTCATTTAAAGCCGAGTTGATTCTGATTTGATATGATGGTGTATAATCTGTGTTCGTGTGTACCTCAGCATCTTATTTAGTCAGGGGGGAAATCCGATATCTTATTGAATACGCGACTGTTTATTGTATAACAGGAACTCTGAAAACATCGGTGAGATTACTTATATGTATACATATTAACAGAAATGCCTTCAATACATCGTTGTATTGGTTGCGTCATGATATCAATAAAAGTTATGTTCACTGAATGTAGCATACCAACCTCTTATATTTATAGATAGTTTCCCTTCAGTGCCTGTTCAAAGTTTCAGAACTCTTTGGATGTGTAGATTTTATCAGGACTTTCATGGAGTTTTGAATTTTTTTTTGTCCACGCCCATTTGGAGGCTGTGAAACTTTGGATCTTGTTTCTTGTCTTTTCCCCTAATAATACTTCACTTTAGTCTGTATATTATACATCCGCCCAGGCGGACAAGGTACCAGTACGGTTTGTTCACTGACCGTGAAATGCTGCTGGATGTTTTTGGCGTTCTGGTTTGTCCGTTGTCAGGATGGCAACAGATAAGTTGTCATGTTACCATGCCTACGTTTACTGGTTATGTGACGGACACTATGAAAGACAACACCTAGTGCTAGGAAAAATCATGGAGGTGGATATTCTGCAGTCAACGCTTCATCATCCACTGGAGTGACAATAACGGGTCGAAGACGACTGCATGGACAGACTCAAGTGGGCATCTCAGTCTAAGCTGTTCTCAACTCCGTTCCAGAGACGTGCCCTACCTTGACAACTTTTTGGGACCTTATGAGCAGTATTAGTCACATCGAAGCGGAAATAAGGCTAACCAATTCGTGTCTGTTGAACATTTACTGCGTCGATTGAAGTGAACGTTAAACATGTCACCAGCGAAACAAGGCCCGATCATCCAAGGAAACAGTTTTCATATGACCTTGGCTATTGAGAGAACCTGAACACCAAATAAAACATGTAGCATTTTCCTTTTCTGCTAAGAATGTCGGACACACCGCCTGATTTTAAAAAGAAAAGAATGTGCTCTGAGGAAGCACGAAAACACTTTCAAATCACATCGCTGAAATGTATCTAAGAAGTCTTGTGTACAATTTTGAGAGGGCGAAGAAGGGAATGAGAGAGGGGAAGGTGTTGTGAGAAAGGAGAAGGCGGTGTTGTGAGAGAGGAGTAGGGGGTGTTGTGAGTGAGGGGTAGGTGTGTTGTCGGATAGGGGTAGGTGGTGTTGTGAGAGAGAATTAGGGGTGTTGTGAGTAAGGGGTAGGGGTTGTGAGAAAGGAGAAGGTGGTGTTGTGAGAGAGGAGTAGTGGGTGTTGTGAGTAAGGGTAGGGAGTGATGTGAGAGAGAGTTAGGGGTGTTGTGAGAAAGGAGAAGGTGGTGTTGTGAGTGAGGGGTAGGGATTGTCTGAGAGAGGGGTAGGGGTTGTTGTGAGAGAGGGGTAGGGGTTGTTGTGAGAGAGGGGTAGAGGTGTTGTTGCCTTTATGTATCCTCAATACGACAAAGTTTGTCATGGGAAGTTTACACCTTACTTCAGTTCTCTACATACTTCCAGGAATGGAACAGCTAATAAGATCGATTCCTAAATACAAAACAATCTGACTTCTGCCAATTTGTCTTTAGCAACAAAACTTCGCTGCATTTGAAGACAAAATCAATATGATATATCAAAAAGCATTGTCAGATATGTCCGAGGTATTTCCTATAAATGGTTGTATTTCTTCCTTACGATTCCTATCCTTTTCAATACTTAAATACACAGTTCTCCTTGTGATTTAAGAATTAATGATTGACGTAAACAGTTCGCCGTAATGTGTGTTATTTAGATCTTAATTTGACTGTGCGAATTATTTCCTAAGTTGTCCATATAAGGGTATGAAATATCAAAATTCCGGTTCAGTCTCGCGTGTGATTTAAGTGTACGACGCGGTACTTGTAACAGCCAATACTGATTCACAATAATAACTGAATATTAAGATTTCCTCATTATGCTTATACTTCCTTAACTTCAGCAATGTTTACAAACCTGGGACCTGACCTAATCAGTTCATTTAACATCACTTCCTTTTTATATATTATATGCTTATCTCACGATCCGGACTCGCATACTGTCTCATAAACAAATCTTCCTGTTGAAAACAGCACTACATTCCTTAAACTATATCAATTTCTGATGTACATCTGAAATATCGATATGTAGTTTTATCGGATGTCACACTGATTAGCTGATTTTAATGTCAAATCTATTACAATTAAATGATTTTCAAAAATAGACAAATATATAAAGGATTTAATTAAGTACTGTAAAGGGTGTTATTTAAAAGAGGTTTTGGGTTTTTATATTTTCGAGAATGGAAAAGAAGCAAAAAGACACTTGAAATAAAGTAAAAAAAGAACAGAAATTTCCATTCTATAACCTCCTCGAAAATTGCACCCCTTTAGTAGAATTGCAAAAAAGAAAATAATGACTCATGGAAGAAAAAAATTCACAGTAATCACATATCATTGACTCAAAATAACTACCATCAATTAACATTGTCGAAATATGTCAATATATCTCTGTGTGATAAGAACTTTGACCATTTTACGATACCTGAATTATTTCTCACCGTTTTCTGACAGCTCCACCTTCAGGAAGTGATGTGAATCATTTTGTTACCAGGAAGATTGCTAAGTGATTTGTCCTTATCTGCGTTATTTGATAACTTCCTTATCGCGCTAGTAATAACTAGGGCTAAAACAAAAAATATAAAAGATATATATAAAAGATAAACACACAATCAATTATATCAATCAAAGCGTTTATGTAAAGAATGATTACTTATATAAAAGATAACAATGCATAATCAATAGTTCAAAAATAACATTGACAACCATACGTTATAAAACAATGTCAATTCATATGCAAACAGATATACATGTATAATAGATTGGTAAGTATATTATATCTATATAAACAAGCAAATTCGTGGAATTTATGTCCCCCGCTTTCCAAACATATTGTAAGTAAATATTTTAGAGGTTAGGAGAAACATGTCATAATGCTATGAAGAATGTTATATTCTCTAGAGCTATGATGTCTTGCTTTAAAGCCAAAGAAAGATGTAAAGGATTACAGAGAGTAGATGTTTTATTGGACATATCAACAGATGATGCTGATTGCTGAACTCAGTCTAATGTGCCCTAATATGCATCTGCTGACCAAGTTTCATCTAAATTGGATTATTTTTAGGGAAGTTAGAGCACGGAAATGAACCGACCAATGAAATCAAAGGATACCTCATTAGTATGCATAATTATTAACAGATCACACTGATAGTCAAACTCAGATGCATCTGCTAACCAAGTTTCATCCAAATTGGATGATATTTGGGGAAGTTAGAACACGGAAACGAAAGTGTGACAGACAGACGGACGGACGGAGGGACAAACCCAAATGAATACCCCCCGTTTCGGTGAAAGCGGGGGATAAAAAGAAGACTTATATGAGACTAGCTGTCCTATTACATAAAATAATATACTATTAATTAATAATAATGATATACTTATTTACAATACATTGTTTTATATTGCTTTAAAGCTGACGTTGATTTTCTCATATGAAATATTGTGACAATAATTTAACACATTCGTATTGTACTCATAAGTCATTGTTACCAACACAAATGATTAGGCAGTAAAAAGATTGCAAACTTAAATATATAAAAGAAGGAACACCATGATACCTTAGTGTCATGAATGAGTGATATATACATATATCAGAGGTTACGTAATAATGTGTGTTAGGGAGATAATGTCTGACGATGGTCTGGTATTTGATAGTACATACTATGTTGGGTCTAAATTGCTAAACCTGGGTGTTATGTAAACACAACGTTATCTGTTCACACAAGACAAGTCATACGAAGGGCGAAGTTGTCGTTTAATTTTCTACTGATTTTTAAAATGAAACGCAGGTGAAACACTGCTCCGATAAAGATGTGCATGGATTCTCCTTGAATGAGATATGTAGATAACTTCGGAAATCAACATCGTGAAACGTAAAGCAAAATGAAAGTGAAACGTCTAGCATTAATATAAAGTAATAGAATTACATAGCACGTGTTTTTTTTTCAGAAATCATCTTAAAGTAATATACAAATGGAATAATCCACAAAATATTAGCAAAGATTATTATCAAAGTTATACCAGTCAGAACGGCCTTTTCACAAACATTCAATAATGATCATGTTTAATAGTTGAGGTTTCAGGTTAGTAAGTCACACCACTACTATTTACAGACAATCAATGTTATTCAAATATGACATTTATAGTAATCATCTGCTATTGTCAAAGACACATACTTTTAGTGTAATTATGGGATTTTGAAAAAGAATTAGCTCACTAACCTAACATAGAAACGCTGTCTGATTTGCTTTCTACTGAACAGTAAAGAGATTAGGGAATGGAAGCAATTTAAGTAACAGCATTACGTTGATGTAATGCAACTGTTAAACAGAAATAAAGCTGTACTTTACAAAGTAAAGAACATTAAAACAAGCTTCCTTTTACATTTGATAAAAAGAAGTGCAAGAAAATTCAAATGATGAATTTTAGATTAGCAAGTTGTTTTTTAAAGCTAAAACTAAACACACACTGTATTGCTATCATGAAATTGTGTCATCCATGATGTTCATCATTTCGGATGAAGATTTTTACGACCCGCAAATTCGATACCTACATTTGGTGGTTAAGCAATATTTGTTTTACTTATGACTCCTCGATCTCTACTTCGGTGTGGCTATCGGAAGTTCCGTATACAACGTGCTTATTGGGTATGAGATTATCCGACTGATTGCGGCGATATTCAGAAGGACGGTACTTATTCCGGACTTTAGTGGCGATAAGTAATACTAGTGCGAGGAACACAATAGTAGCTACTATTGCGATAACGGCTACTGCCCCTCGTGACAAACCACTGTTGCCTTCTGTTGAATCACTATCACTCTGACTGGCTGGTTCGATGACATCGCCCATTTCACCGGTTCCTTCAATATCTGTCCATGTCAAACCATCCTCACTTATCATGATACTTGAATTATCTGAAAATCCATTGATAGGGATTTCCATAAACGGAGGTCGTATAATAGGCGGTAGACCTTCATTGCTCAAAGCGTTTGCCTGGATACAGTAGGATATTTCACATCCATTAACCACCACAGCCATGTGCTCGCTGTAACCAGTCGGACAGCCTCTTGGCCAATGAGCAGGGCCAGAACTTTTCAAAAATGTTTCTAAAACCATCATGTCATTATTACTTCTTTGATGTTTGTCTTCTTCGTCTGATGTTAGCTTCAGGGGATTTCCTGTTTTACAGCTGAAGAAACCACCAAAAGGTACTGAATAACGGAAACCAAGTTCATAGTCATCACTGACACAAACACGCAAAGTACTGCTGAGTTTCAAGGTATAGAAATATGGTGGGCAGGATCGACTGCCAGTCAGTGGATTTCCGATGGTGCTGGTGTACAAACCTCCAAAAAGGTACCCGGTGTTGGCAGTAACTTTTCCCGCAGAATAACACCAATATCCTGCGTATGATGCAGTTTGGGAGGCTGCATAATCCCCACAACAGGTAGAAAATCCAAGAAATCCACAGCTATGGCACCTACGAACTGTATTTGGAGTGTTCTTATTTCCTCTGTCAATCAACACTGCCTCATAATTTGGTGGACAAGAGTAATCCCCGGTTAAAGGATTCTTTTGCTCGAGATCAGTACACGTGTTGGACCGGATATTTCCTGACAAAGAACAAGTCTGGTAAATACCACCAAACGTGTAGTTGTTTGAAAGGCTGTGACATGTTCCGTCGTCAACGTTAGCCTGGAAACTGAAATTAGGAGAATCAGGATTGGTACAGCCCCTGTAGACGTTATGTTTGTAATAGAGATCGATAGCTTTCTTCACATGCTGGATAAGATCGTAGACTATAGACGGCGGTAGTTCAGGTAGAGCCATTGGTGTTATAATGAAGTGCAGGGGGTCTCCTGCCCGGTCCACAGTCACCAGATTATCCGCGATGCTATTGGCCCAGTCGTTAAGGCTGAAGTTCTTTGGTTGGAATATTGCTCCACCAATAGTAATCGTTTCGGAATTTGTTCTGTTTCCAAGATACTGGTCAATCATTTCTTTCGTCGTTGAATGCTCATAATTTGCACTGACATGAAATATGTCTGCGAAAGAAGCGCTTGCGGAGGCCAATACTTTACTTTTGTCCATACTATACGAACGAGCGTACGTGGACTTTATCTGATCCTGTTGTGCTATCACTGCCCCGGCATCAGCACTGGTAATGACATGGGTGCCAAAGTCCCTAACCAAAAGCTGACTTTCGTACCGAGCCATATTCGTCTGGTTTTTCGCTATCAGAGCTGCAATTGTCAAAAGCCTCGCTTTAAATTTCGGATTAAATGCTGTGTCGGGTTGTAATTTGGCCGAATATCGAACATACCTTGCTTGGACACGAGTGGTCACAGATTTATCCATCGTCTGTCTCGATCGGACGCTTTCTGTCTCATGCGAGTAGGATCCTCCTATTCCGAAATGTCCAATATGGAAACCCGCTTCAGCGTTGACCGTGCTAGATGTTGTTGAGGTGTAGTTTTGCCAATGTGAGAACAGCTCGGCGAAAGTTTCCATATTACTCTGCTTTAGTGGTACAGTGTATATTCCGTCTGGTAACAGATAACGACCGTCGTCTGTAGTTTCACATAGACTGTAGTTATAAGAAATCACCTGACCGCCATGTTTGTTTCGTAAGTTGTCCCACCCTCCTCCGGGAAGTACTTCGTACCGTATAAGTTTTTTGTTGAAGCTTCTCTGCAGACACCTTTGTGGATCTCCGACACTATATGTTATTTGACCAGTATTTTGTTTCTCTTCATCAGCGGAGACACTTGGAAAATTAACTACCGTCACTATCAACAAAACTATAGCGCAAAAGTACGCCATGTTCACCTTTGGTACCCGAGACCTCACTGCGGTTTGTTTTGGAAGTTTTACTTCCTTTATATAGAATGTCGCATACTTCCTGCTTGTAGTACATATATTTTCTATTGGTTTATCAAACGCATACACCCCCATATACACAGGCCGTATCCCTGAACCTTGTTCACCATATAGTCACTGTCAGGTGGATAGTTTTCGTTTCGATTTGAGAGCATGACAGGAAATATGTACTTTAATGTACTGCTCACGATGAAATGAATCATTAACAACTCCACAACTCCGTTTATGAACTCTACGTAGCCAAGACTGCCTTAGAGGACACTTGTGTATATAACAAATATGCTATAATTTCTAAACGTAAGAATGAAATCTACAGCTTATTTAACTTTTCTTACGACAGATTTCTTTTTTAAACATACGTTCATATCGTGGACTCTGGTTAGTGAATCAGCCACTGCCGAATATTCTCTGCTTACAATATTCAATTTTATTCCGAAAATATCTTCAATTGACAATGTATGTTTAAAAAATCTTTCATATGAATTAATCATTAACATTCGTTGTAATAGATGAATTTGTAAAAAAAAAAATACGAATTCGAAAATGTTGATCCTGCTTTAACATTGCAATATATCTTGATTTCATATATTACTTACGAAGAACCAAGACTTTGTTTAAACTTGATATAACTTTCCCCGATATGTTTTTTGACATGCTAACTATTTCGTGATGTACTATAGTCTTTGTTAAAGAGCCAGACCCATCTGTTATAGATATTTTTTCATATTTTATTAACTGGAAATGTTGTTGTATACTAATAGATAATATATAAATAAAGACTTGTATAAAGTTTCAAACATGAAATTGAAAGGGTACTAGAGATATCGGTGCCGGAATTAGTCCATTAATCAACACCAGGATATTAATATTGATGAGTAAAAGTCACGTGATACGTTCAGACGCGGTCAAAACCAAAACAAAAATGGAGGAAGTGGTGAGTAGTACGTCCATGTGACATCGCTTGTAAAGAGATTTTACCGATAAATGCAATCAATACTCTATATAGCCTGTATGGAAATCATGTAACGTATGTATTGATCACATCTTTCAATGCTTAGATATGACACAAAAAACGTGTAGATTACGAGAAAAACTACGATTAATTGCAAAGAGGTCCTTTAATGGGGGCTACTAACAGTAACGAACATATAGAGCATCGCGAAATGGATACATCTAAAGCGAATACTCGATGATAAGAGTATATATGAATATGATTTTAGTGTGATAATACACGAGAGAGCCAAACAGAGAGCGATACAGAGTATGAACCAGCCATCTTCCTTCTTTTCGCCTTAGAGTCTGTCAAAACACGTTTTCTTCCCCGCTTCCCTCGAACGCTTTCACCATGTTGGAAGACGACAGATTTATTTACAGACCTTTGCACATGCGTCAGAGGGCAGGACTTTCCGCATAATTATGAATAAGCACTGAGTCGTTCCGAATTCTTTTTCAAAACTATTGATTACGTTAGATTGGTAGCGATTTACTTTAAAATTGCGGTATAACAGGGTTAGTCAGAACTTTTTGCTACCCGAGAAAAATAGAAAATCATGATTTTTTATATATAAAATCATATCGGTCGAGGAGTGGGTCTAGCATTTAAGCTCTAGAAGGTCATTTTAGAAGTTTAGATCATGTATGTTAAAAATTTAACAGTTCACCTTTTAGTTTTTTATTATAATTTAATGAACATTTTTTCGAATACAGTGAGATTTGTGATGTCGTCTAATGATAATTTGCTTTCAAATAATTGGTGATGTCCATGTTATTTTGATTATTGCTGTTTTGGTGTTTTTCGTGTAATTTGTATATTGTTATGTTGTTTGAATGTCATAATTTGTTAATTTGAACAGCTGTGGTCTACATTGATCGTTGGTGGTTCTGGTCGTACAGTAGTCAATACATGGGAACAATGTTGCATTTTCAAAGAAAACAATGTTAACATCAGCAAGACCATCAGGCATACTAACGAACATTGAATAAATCTTCAAAGTTCATATCCCACAAGGACATAGAGCGATTCCAAATATGATATGATGGTGACCATAACACGTCCTTCCAGCATTCACTGACGAGATCTAGAAGTGAGAAATTTATTTTTGATGTAGTTTGATAATTTGGCTCCAATATATTTAATTCTAAGTTTGTTTTCACTTGTATGTCTTTTGCACAATTTTCCTCGCTTGCAAACACTTTGACGTGAGTTTATCTGTCAGCAAGCAACATCTTTCACAGAAATCCTGATATTGGGAACGCGCAATTAAATATCAAATCCACTGCGATATGTTAACACTGTGTGTTAGTGAAGAATGCAGGAATGTTCCAATATAGAAACGGAAAATTCACGGTAGAGGAATAAAACCTATCCATCTGCCTTGCTTTTTTACCTTGGTAGAAAACTGTGTTATGCCAACCATTGATGATTGGTTTCAAGTTGAAGTTTTCAAAAGTTTCATTGCCTGATCAGTTCAATTAATTTGTGATACTAGTTGTTATACCAGAAAGATTAAACGTAATGACCGTGTGGAATTTAAATGGCTTGATGTTGATATCAACGGAATTCAGTTCTTTCATAGGAGAGATTATGCAATTACTGGTTGTGAACGAGAACTTATGAAATTATTCAAAATATCAAAAATCTATTGCATTGACAATTGCAAAAGCAAAAGATAAACTAACTCAAATGTTTGAGACTACAATTTATTTCTTTTAAGAAGTAAATAGTTTAATAATCAGGAGCAAAATTACTAAGAAAATTAAAACAAGAGAAAATCAATTTCAAAAGCAGTGCCAAAGCTGTCGTCATGGATGACATATACAAGTGACACCTGTCTCCAGTACATCATGTTATCACGTTTGTACTTAAAAATGAAGAACTAAGTGTAACAAAAACATTGCTATAATACTACTACAACAAAATCGAACTACAATGTGAATTTTGAAACCATTCTGAACAAAAAAGATACATGAAAACACATGATGCGTTGTAACAGATAGTCATGCAAGCAAAAATACTGTCAAATTGTAAATCAGCATTAAAGTCCCCCGACACTTTACGTTAAATCACTAAAGAATTTTATTTTCATACCCAATGAAAACATCTGCCCCCTTTTGATAATCTATCAAATAACACATTGACATAACAACCGTGTAAAATATTTACAACAACTTGTCTTAAAGCAGATATTAATAGTAAGTATAGACACTTGAATGAATATTAAATTTATAGACGCATTGTTTTCTGGTTTGCTCTTTTTTATCAGACTGAATACGATGTACGAACATTTTGCAATAATGCATAATACATGAACATGATGCTTTAAAAGCGATAATTTACACTAAAATGTTATAAGAGACAAAAATAGCAGCAAATATCAGTAATGATAGTTAGAAATGTCGGTATTAATAATTACAAATGCCAGCACTGACATGTAAAAGTGTTGATATTGATAGTACAATTGTTTAGTGTTAACAGTTATAAGTGATAGCATTAATTGATAGTTACAAGTTCTGAAAGTTATAGTCACAAAAGTCAGTATTGATAGTTACAAGTGTCAGTACTGATAGTTATAGTGACAGTATTGACAGTCACAAGTATCAGTGTTAATAGTTACAAAGTTCAGTATTGATAGTTACAAAGTTCAGTATTAATAGTTACAAAGTTCAGTATTGATAGTTACAAGTGCATTTGTTATTTGTGCAAATGTTAATATTTATTGTAACAAGTGTTAGTTACAGTGTCAGTATCGATAGTCACAACTGTCAATAAATGCTTCCTTTCGGTTATTCAAAACATTAAAAGATACATGATATTTATTACAACTTTCAAGGAATTGTGAATGTGATTATTTTGATGCTATGTCTATATATAGGAATAATCGAAATCGGAAAGTCCGCTTAAAATTAGAATTCTTCGTAAAAATGATTTATGCAGTTGAACACTTTGCCTTTGCCTGAAGACCACGACTTCCACCTAAGACTCTATATGTACCTCGGTTTGGTTGCTTGGAGTTCCATGCTCTCTGTGTTGGTTTTGGATAAGCTGATCTGAAACGTGACGTTGATACTCAGACGTGGAGCGGTTTCTGTTTCGGATTTTCTTACCAACAAATAACAGAAAAACAAATATCAGAGAAATCGTGGAAACAGCTATCGCGATAACTGCTACTCCACCTGGTGACAAACCGTTGTCGTCTGCTGCCTGAACGCTACCAGGGCTTTGATTGCCTGCTTCCTGCTTTTCGTTGATATCACTGAAGTCCTCAATGTCTGACGATGAAAAACCATCCTCACTTATCATGATACTTGAATTATCTGAAAATCCATTGATAGGGATTTCCATAAACGGAGGTCGTATAATAGGCGGTAGACCTTCACTGCTCAAAGCGTTTGCCTCGATACAGTAGGATATTTCACATCCATTAACCACCACAGCCATGTGCTCGCTGTAACCAGTCGGACAGCCTCTTGGCCAATGAGCAGGGCCAGATCTTATCAAAAATATTTCTAAAACCATCATGTCATTATTACTTCTTCGATGTCTGTCTTCTTTGTCTGATGTTAGCTTCAGGGGGTTTCCTGTTCTACAGCTGAAGAAACCAGCAAAAGGCAGAGAATAGCGGAAACCAAGTTCATAGTCATCACTGACACAAACACGCAAAGTACTGCTGAGTTTCAAGGCATAGAAATATGGTGGGCAGGATCGACTGCCAGTCAGTGGATTTCCGATGGTGCTGGTGTACAAACCTCCAAAAAGGTACCCGGTGTTGGCAGTAACTTTTCCCGCAGAATAACACCAATATCCTGCGTATGATGCAGTTTGGGAGGCTGCATAATCCCCACAACAGGTAGAAAATCCAAGAAATCCACAGCTATGGCACCTACGAACTGTATTTGGAGTGTTCTTATTTCCTCTGTCAATCAACACTGCCTCATAATTTGGTGGACAAGAGTAATCCCCGGTTAAAGGATTCTTTTGCTCGAGATCAGTACACGTGTTGGACCGGATATTTCCTGACAAAGAACAAGTCTGGTAAATACCACCAAACGTGTAGTTGTTTGAAAGGCTGTAACATGTTCCGTCGTCAACGTTAGCCTGGAAACTGAAATTAGGAGAATCAGGATTGGTACAGCCCCTGTAGACGTTATGTTTGTAATAGAGATCGATAGCTTTCTTCACATGCTGGATAAGATCGTAGATTATAGACGGCGGTAGTTCAGGTAGAGCCACTGGTGTTATGATGAAGTGCAGGGGATCTCCTGCCCGGTCCACCGCTACTAGATTATCCGCGATGCTATTGGCCCAGTCGTTAAGACTGAAGTTCTGTAGTTGGAATACATGTCCACCAATAGCAAACGTTTCGGAATTTGTTCTGTTTCTAAGATACTGGTCAGTCATTTCTTTCGACGTTGAATGTTTGTAATCCCCTTTTATGCTGAATACACTATCGAAAGAAGCGCTTGCGGAGGCCAATACTTTACTTTTGTCCATACTATACGAACGAGCGTACGTGGACTTTATCTGATCCTGTTGTGCTATCACTGCCCCGGCATCAGCACTGGTAATGACATGGGTTCCAAAGTCCCTAACCAAAAGCTGACTTTCGTACCGAGCCATATTCGTCTGGTTTTTCGCTATCATCGATGCAATTATCAAAAGTCTTGATTTGAATGCTGGATTTAAGGGTGTGTCGGGTTGTAATTTGGCCGAATATCGAACATACCTTGCTTGGACACGAGTGGTCACAGATTTATCCATCGTCTGTCTCGATCGGACGCTTTCTGTCTCGTGCGAGAAGGATCCTCCTATTCCGAAATGTTCAATATGGACACCTGCTTCAGCGTTGATCGTGCTAGATGTTGTTGAGGTGTAGTTTTGCCAATGTGAGAACAGCTCGGCGAAATTTTCCATATTACTCTGCTTTAGTGGTACAGTGTATATTCCGTCTGGTAACAGATAGCGGCCGTCGCCTGTAGTTTCACATAGACTGTAGTTATAAGAAATCACCTGACCGCCATGTTTGTTCCGTAAGTTGTCCCACCCTCCTCCGGGTAGTACTTCGTACCGTATAAGTTTTTTGTTGAAGCTTCTCTGCAGACACCTTTGTGGATCTCCGACACTATATGTGATACCACTGTTAGGACCATTCTCTTCATCAGACGACACGGTATAGTCAGCTAACATCACCAATATTACCAAAACTATATCGAAACAGAACCCCATGTTTACTTGTCAACAGCCTCAGTCGAAACGTTCTGTTCCCTTGTTTGCCCCCTTCTGCTCTGCTACGCCGACTAACCACATATAACACAGCCTTCTATTACGTACGAGGTGATGAAATTTTCTAAGGCCTAATGACTCACTTCTGGAAATAGCTACTTTCGTTTTGAAACAACGTTGTAAACACATTGTTATGTTTATGGTTGCTGGTCAGGTAGAGGCGGATTAAATTATAACATTCCGGATATTATAAATCCGTGTATCATTTTGTTGTATTAGTATGTACCCGTTCCGTCTTTTACGGCGGCCGGGTTGAATTTTGGTTAGCAGTAGAGATTTTCCAGAAGAGAGAAAATAAAATAATAAAACCCGTGTTGAAGAAATCTATCTTTGTAATCCATATGGACCACAGCCAAGCGAGCCGGTAACAACATATTTTTAACACGCTTCAAATTTATATAGCCCAGAAAGCTGTATCTTTAAGAGGTGAATTACATCGTATTTAATATCACTAAGTTTCTAACGATAACCATCAGTAAGTTAACACGCATAGGAACAATGTATGTGATGAACTACACGTATGTACATGTGTGTCAGGTTTAAACTAACGGGACTTTTCCTTTCTATAGGATAGCGTTCAGGATTTTAGTTTCCGTTTTTTGTTTTCTGATGTTTTTGAAATAAAATATCCATATCGATATATTTCTCATAATCTTGTTCAAGAACGAAACGCTTTTTAAAAGGCCGGACATTGATACCTTCACCGCACTCCAAATGTCATGTGACATACGGGTTTTCCCGGTACGTGTATTCTAATCTACAAACCAGATAACAGGTTTGCACTCGCGTAGAACTCAAGTGCAAGAGAAAATTTACTCCATACTTATAATTATACTGAGTGTGATCTATTAGATTTATAGATAGACTCGCGTGAATTCACGACCCATAACTGAATCGAAATTACTAGTAAAATGTGAATGAAAGATTAGACGAATACACAAGAAAGGAAAAGGAAAATCAAGTCAAACACAAGTTTATCACTTCAACAATTAGGTTTTCTACTGAATGTTATAAACTATTGCGAGTAAGGAAGATAGATACTCCGTCATCAAAATGATGACTGTTATACTGCTTGAATAAACAACATATCAAATCTGTTTAAATCCGACATTACAGTTGCTTATGTGATGAATGAGACTCCTACCATTTGTGATTGTCAGTTAAACTACCTTTATGAGTTTACTGTAAGAAATTATTATGTTGTCATAAAGCATTATGTTGACAGGAGGTCGATAATGTGACTTTTTGTTGTTTGGTATAACCTTTCACAGAGTACAGTTAATCTAACACATTTACAATTAAGACTTTATAGAATAGATCCTGGAAATCGACTTAAAGAAACTAATCAACAAAGGTTGTTAACATATTTTTAAGCAGGTTAAGAAGAAATAGAAAACTTATTTAGCAGAGGATGAACAAAACCCATATAAGATATAAGACAAATTACTCGGTAGTGTATTTTAGATAGAAATAAATAGCGATCATGAGTTTGGAATGGAAACTGAAGCAGTAACCATCGAGAGAATAGGAGTAATGTGTACAGCTATTTTGAGATTCCCTTGAGAATCATAGCATTTTTTACACAATCAAGTGGAAAAATTCGCACCAAACAATTGATCAGACATTAAAACACTTTGTTCGGATTGTATTAAATGCAATTCAGTTGAATATACGGTGTAATTATATGTAGATCTGTGAAAGTGATAAGTGGAGCGAATAACGTAATTTCACATAAAGGGTAACAACTAGCCTTAACCATTAAGAGGTATATAATTGGGAACACCACCGTTTATTTACATTAGAGTTTTGTCCAAGTTTTGAAGTAGGGTGGAATTTAACCACAGTGTATGATAGGGAACGCAGGTAGGAGATTGTGACATGTAAGGATCTGTAAAGAAGTAAGTGTTGACTACGGTATATAGGTATATATTTTATTACATAAAATTGGTCGTTGCATGAAGCATTTGTCGTTCACATACATGTAGTTTAAAGAATGTTTTTTGTTCAATATATAATTAATGTATGGTAATCAAACGGCTACATAAATTCTGGAGGATCTGCCTACTCACTCGGTGATTACTTTATAGAGGAAGTGAACATATTTTCTGTGGTGTTGACTATCATTTATAATTCATTTATAAAATTAATTGGTAAACATTGTCATCAACATGATTCCGAGATGTTAAGAAATTATTTATAATTATCTTTCCTATCCTTATGATCCCTCGGATTCAATAACAAACTGCCTGGAAACGTTTTTAGGGAATATTATCAAATGCCAAACTGCAATTTATCTAGGTAAGTAACACATGGCTTTATTGATGTTACTTGAACAAACTTATAAAAGACTACATGATAATCTGCATTTTGTGTATTTAAAACGATTATATATTGATAGATGATATGGATGCAGCATTGACACTTATAATAACTTTGTGATTCACTAATACAAACATGTATAAACTGTTATACTGCCGAACGTCGTTATCTCAATGTCTTCGCTGAAATAATTCGAATAAACGGGCTCTTCTAGTGATACGAATTCGAGATAGCAAAGTAGTAATTAGTATTAATATAAAAGTTCTATCAGTTAAAGACACAGAATTTGTTAAATACCGTCATGTTGTTAATAATCATAGTTATTTTTCAAAATCACTCTGCCTCCATTTTTTTCATAAACGCCTTCATAAAGTCACCAGGTATGAAATATTGATCGGCTAACCTTAAGAGTGAAGGGCTTAAAGAACAAATGTGATCTATCTCTCAAACCCCAGGGTTTAAATGTCCGTTATTATACCAACGCAACCAGTGAGACACTCTCTAACTTGTTTACGTTCACATTTCAAGATGTCGGCCTACTCATAGCAGAGTCAATAGTAACGGAGAACGATCAATTCGAGGTAGGTTATAGAAGAAGTAGCGCAACTTCACACCAGGCAGTGTACACTACAGGTATAACACGTAATACTCTTACACCTTTACCAACATGGAAAGACTGACACACGACAGGTAAGGGGTGGAGCCAAGGGGACCTCCATTTCATGTAACATTTGATTTAGTAATGAAAGAATAATATTATGTTATAATTCTTTATTTAGAATTAAAAAGAAAAAAGTGTAGTCACGACTCTTTATTAATCAGAACTTCATCTTTAACTTATCCTAACACGTATGAATTAATTGAATATTGTAATAGAACTTTCAAAACACTGCCTATCACACATCCTTTAACAACTTTTAGGAATGTTTGATTCTATAGAAAAAAGTGATGTACAGCTTTCGAATTGTAAAAGTGGATCTGATGCATTATCTAATTCAGATGAAACATACATTCTCCGACGTAAAATACCGAATAATACAAACAAAGAAGATGAAAATAATAAATAAAAACTCAGAGAGGAGACTGAAAACTATTAACGCTGCAAGTTTAAGGTATTTTCAATATTTAATTATTATTCCATTTATTTATTTCGATATCCATAGATTAAAATAATTAAAACATTTCTTACAGTTTATTCTGTGACAGGTCCATGTTACTTTTTGTGATATGTTTATGTTGTATTTTGTGATATGTTTATGTTGTATTTTGTGATATGTCTATGTTGTATTCTGTGATATGTTTATGTTATATTCTGTGATATGTCTATGTTGTTTTCTGTGATTTGTCTATGTTGTTTTCTGTGATATGTCTATGTTGTTTTCTGTGATATGTCTATGTTGTTTTCTGTGATATGTCTGTGTTGTTTTCTGTGATATGTCTATGTTATATTCTGCGATATGTCTATGTTGTTTTCTGTGATTTGTCTATGTTGTTTTCTGTGATATGTCTATGTTGTTTTCTGTGATATGTCTATGTTGTTTTCTATGATATGTCTATGTTATATTCTGTGCTATGTCTGTGTTGTTTTCTGTGATATGTCTATGTTATATTCTGTGATATGTCTATGTTATATTCTGTGATATGTCTATGTTGTTTTCTGTGATATGTCTATGTTATATTCTGTGATATGTCTATGTTGTTTTCTATGATATGTATATGTTATATTCTGTGATATGTCTATGTTGTTTTCTGTGATATGTCTATGTTATATTCTGTGATATTTCTATGTTGTTTTCTATGTTATGTCTATGTTATATTCTGTGATATGTCTATGTTGTTTTCTGTGATATGTCTATGTTGTTTTCTGTGATATGTCTATGTTATATTCTGTGATATGTCTATGTTATATTCTGTGATATGTCTATGTTGTTTTCTGTGATATGTCTATGTTATATTCTGTGATATGTCTATGTTATATTCTGTGATATGTCTATGTTGTTTTCTGTGATATGTCTGTGTTATATTCTGTGATATGCCCATGTTATGTTCTGTTCCGATAACATGATGTTAACACTTTAGAACCAGGATTTCAGCTCAGGTAGGAGTCTTACTGAGACTCATCTACAAGAGTGGGCTATGTATGACACGAGATATGAATAAACTTGCCTTATCATAAGGTCAATAAAACTCAAATACTGTTAGCATTGCTTTACATTTTAATTTCCTGTTGTGTATTTTGAAAAAGTGAAGATCTTAATAGAAAATTTATGTACGCTACCTGAATAAAATTATGATAAAAATCATTTAAACTGTTTATACATGTCGTGTATGTAAAAAGTATTGTGTTAGCAAATACATTATTCATTGATAAAGGTATACATTTGTATTAGTTATTTAAGTACATGAACTGGTAGGAATTTTTAAAACTGCAAATTGATTCCTTGATAAAAACAAGCTATAAAAGTCACAGCAGTGCTTCCATGTGTGACACATTTTCATTCACTTGTTCATTAATCTAACACCACATGGTTCTTCCACTAGTTCATTAATCTAACACTACTTGGGTTATTCACTAATTCATTAATCAAACACTACATGGTTTAATTCAGTCAAATACATATCTGACGTTCTTTCAAAAAACATTAAACTTATAAAAATTATAAAGCCTATTGAATTGTGGGTCTAGTGCATCTCCTTCTCTAGATTATATATTTATTTTTATTTTTTTTTAGATTTTCCTCAGTCGCTTCGTAAGTTTCGAAAAATAAGCTCCTAGTTGTATCACTGACGAGTCCTAATAAAGACGAAACAGCTGTTTAGTGAAATGTGATTCATCATTTAGCTCGACTAATAATGAATTGATTAGAAATATACTATACACCAGTGTATCTTTTATTCTAACATCCATACAAGTTGTTTTTTTTCCATACCGATATTATTCAGTCTGTATAATAGAGCTTGTAAAACAATGACATGAATAAACCTAGACAGAATTTCACGTTACTACAGTGTGACTATGTATATTCACTTTTTAAATTGCCTGCCTTATATGACATTTTGAGAATTTTCACCGAACACTATTTTTTATATTTTTGACGAACATACCTCATTGCACTTGTAGCCATTCAGTGCTTGGCATGTGACAAAACATGACCTTTACGAGTAACCGAGTTTTAACACGTGCATAACATATATACTATCCTTGTCATATTTAAGACATGCTACATCGGATATTTTGTCAGGACTTAATTTTCTGTATATTAATGCGTCTTAATTGTTGATTTTTCTCTAGATAAACAGATAATTTGCAAAATGATTTGACAAACTAACTCAGGTCAAGGTTATGATGTATATACAAAACAATAGTAACTCGTTCATATTGGCACCCCGTATTAATTAGATATAAGGCCCAAAACCTGAATCCGGTTTACAATTGTAGGACATAGTAAAGCATAAATAACACTATATATACACTGATAGATTTTTACGGTTTGATGGCAATGAATGATTCTGTTATCGTACTTTTTTTTCTGTCCAGAATTTGATATATTGCCATGCAATACTATATCGCAAAGGGAGCAATATATTTAGGGTTAAGTAACTCAAATATAAAAAAATGTCATGCTACAACTGCTAAACATTTTATCCTTTTAAAGATATCAAATAGGTAGAAGATGATGCATGTCCTTAATGGTAAGAAAGCATAATATAGTTCAGTTGCATTTGCAACACTCGGGATTCCTACATCGCTTTATAATCACCGTGGCATTTAAAACGGCACTAAAGTAATATATCTCTCGTTTCAATGTCTGTTACGCATTTGTAATATGACTGCACCAATGAAATAGAAAATTGTACTTAAATCTACATTATATATATGATTAAAGGTACGTTTTGAAAATAATGTCGTTGTATACAATGTTCTTAGTGTATATAATCCCGCAACCTGGAGCTAACTTCTCTGACAATGATGAACCACTTGAGAAACACTCACTGGAATGATATACCACTTTAATTTTGTAGTGTTATTCAGACTGATTTGTAAAACTCCACGTCTGATGTGCAAATAACACTGAGTATGCAGGGGACGCTTTGATCCTTCTTTTCATAAATAACATATATAATCCCACTTGAAAACTCCGAAAGAGACACTGCAGGTAAGATATAGCTTTAGAAATATTCCGACAACTACAGACAAGCAGACAATCAAAGGGTACGACCGATAACTTAATTGTGATTAATGAAGTGTTCGATATTCGATATTAGACCGGAGTACTATTATGGGTGTATGATAGAGCTAGGATAAGATAGGAGATATTTATGGATTACCGAGGCCGTAGTGACAGAGGTATGTCAGTAGCATGAGTTGATAATTTAATCATTGAAGTATTTATCAGGACATCAACCTGCGTCAGCTTTAATGATTTTTCATATCAAGGAATTGAAATTTAAAACTCTGTTTATGATAAAAAGAGTTACTTTTTAAAACAGAGGCAGTGTTGTTTGGTAGGCATCTCAACAGTGTCTCTTAAAAAAAATGTGTCTCATGATATATGTATTTGATTTCCTAATCAATACTGTGATCCAGATGTATGTAACGACCATGAAACTTTGTTATTACGATTTCATTTTTACCATCGTTTTATATTTGCTGGTTTTATTAATTCCTATGTTTACTGCATTTTTTTCACGTGTTCACATATTGCGTTTTTATAATTAGTTGGACGTAGAATATATATTACACATCATCTGCCTGTTATCCAGTGAATTTGCCCATGTAATGTTTTGCGTATATAACACTTATGTTATGTTTTCTGAAGTGATTTTCATTAGGGGCGCCAATCAGAAATAGACTGTAATGTCATGATATGTTGATTTTCAAACCTGTCAAAATGTAAAAATGTATATTTCATTTGAGCTTTTATGAATCTCGTCTCGAATACAATCTCATGAAATGGAAAGTAATTTCAGATCCTATGTATTTCATCGATGTTATAATTATGATTCCATCTATTTCCTTTCACGATATATTTTACAGCATTTACAGTGCATACACTAGAACACATTATGTCAAAGTCTTTGGTACATGTCATGAAGTACTAGATATATGCAACAAAATCAATTCAGATTCTACAGGAAAAATTTATTAGAGACTTCAAACATAAGACCCAAAAAAAGGTGTTCCTTTGAAGTTTACTTTCTTATGTGCTTCTGGTCAATAATTTGTTTATCAAAAGGTAGGTTGCTGAATAAACTTTTATAATTAGATAAGTAATGCGTAAGTGTAAATGCAGATGTAAATAATAGTTATTTAACATACGTAAAGGTAGGAAAATTAAACATCAGGAAATTTATGATGACAAATACACTAGTTGCCAATATAAAAATTTCAATGTTTGTATCTTATGAAATATTGCTTTAAAACCCACCATGTGTCAATATCACGTACATGTGTGGTAGATCCGCAATTTAAATTCAAATAAACGTAATAGAAAATTTGCTTTCATGAAATTGGGCACTGCATTGATTTAGAACTGAAACTAAATATCCTTGTGTATGGAAAAAGGTATATATAAGTAAAGAACGCAAGGTACAGTGTCGGGTAATTTATCATCTCATTATTGTTCTGTTTCAATATTTCAATGAAAAGACGAATTATTAATTTTGTTTCTTATTATGATTTAGCATGAATAATTAAACGACTACCCCATTATGTGTAAAACTGGTTTGTTACCAGGTCGGCATGTTCGTGACAGATTATCATTGCCGTCTCTATTGAACGTAACTATCCAATGTCATATGATACCATTTTTTGTTTGCAACAAGTAATATAAACGTCAATTTGTAATGATGTATGAACCGTTTCTATATTACCATATATCTAACATGGAATGACAAATGCTGTGTTGTAAGTATCACATGTATATAAAAAACCAGTCGTGTGCTGAGATAAAAAAACCTTTCAGAACGAGCATTGTTGCTAATTGTTGTTAATTTATTGATACGAAAATATACAGGATATCAGAACCATGAAATTGTATTAGTTCAAAATACCCACAAAACTGATATTACACATGCAATGCTTTCTCTATGGAACTTATATATATTCAACAGCTTCTGGGACGATGTGCATTATTTATGGAAGGAAAACATTCATTACAATTTATAGGCACGAGCAAACTTAACAGACATGAGGGTCCACTGGGGGTAATTGAGGTCTGGAACAACATATCAAGCCTGTTTGATACATAAATACGGGTTCGCTTGAATTTTTAAAGTTTTGGGATGTAATGTTTGGCGTTCATGTCCGCATTACTCTCAAAGGAACTTAAAATCTAGAAGAATAGCAACACAAAGAAATATATAATGAAATATTTCATCGTAAAATATTAGCACTTAGCCTGCATGTTTTTGTACATTTCAGGTAAAATGTGAATCGTGTTAATATCATCATGAGATTGCTATGGCAACGGAACAATTTGGCACTCAGTTGGACTTTACAGATTATGATGATGGACAAGAGAGGACGGAAGAAAATTCACCCATGAACAAAGGAGAGAAAATGAGTGAAGACAATCACCAGGACAAAAATATTGATGATTCCGAGTGTAATGGTTGTCATGATAAAATAACATTAGACTTGGGCGGTGGGGATCTAGAACATCATACAGAAGGTCCACCGGGAGGGGTGACAGGACGGTCAGAAGGTCCACCGGAAGGGGTGACAGGACGGTCAGAAGATCTACCGGAAGAAGTGACAGAACGATCAGAAGATCCACCGGAAGAAGTGACAGAACGATCAGCAACCGTGGAGGTAAGAAGGTGTGACTTTCGGTCAAATAATACTTGGCCAAAGTTTTGGTTACAGACATCTTAAAATGTTTACCGAGTCTCAGACTTTTTCCTTATCTTTACAGAAACTATGGCAACAAAATCCTTTATAAGCAATGCTTGTCATTTTCTGAATCATTTTCAAGTGTTTTGAAAGCATGAGGATTTCCTACATTTTTTTATCGACAAGAGCCAATATATTGCGATTAAGTCGAGCCAAAAGTTCATATAAAAGGTTTCAATCAATTTCCCCAAACTGAATGGCTTTCGATCCTAACCTTTCTTCTGTGTTTGTATTACTTCACTTCACGAGTTCAGGGACGCCATTAACACTGTCGACATACATTCGGAAATGAATTGTTACCAAAACCAGTATATCGAGAACCTCAAGGTACTCTCTGATTACATTGATATTTTTAGTTTGCTTATGTACTCATGATATTCATAACACGTACATTTCTTTGGATTGAAATCAAACATGGTTACATATCAGGTGGATTTCTATATATCTTTCTGTCATCCGCTGCTGTTTCAATAGCCATTTTTGTTCTCGTCCTCAGAGGAGGTAACTAGTTTCTTTCAATGACTTTATTTAAATGAGCTAAACCAACAAGCTAATCTCTACAGTTTACACATACTACTGGTAACCTTTTAGCCCATTAGTAGTCAATCGCCAAATAATACAGGTAAGCACAGGTAAAATAGCTACTTCCACCTGACGACAACATATTAGTTTTAAATGCATTTTAATTTTGCTCTTTTTTCGTCGATATAGCTCCATTCAAATAGCGAATACATGGATATTTAGACTTATCTATGTAACTAATAGATATATGAAAAGATTCCTACCTGGAAACTTAAAATGCTTTCTATACAAATAATTGAATATCCGTCAGGTCCTTCAGGTGAGATATTCAGTAACTATTTATCAATACTTTTATAAAAGTCAATATAGAGTTAGCAGGTAGCATGTTGTGAATGCCTAGTCCCCAGTTATATATTTTATAAAATACTCATTCAATTTCGATATGATTCGAAATACGTGAAATATGTGCACTATTAAATATGAACTGATGACAGTATCGATTTAGTGCAGAATTAAGTAACCATTTATAACGTATATACCGCTTTAGAAATCATTATCTATGCCTTGAAAGGCCAATGGTGATGACTTGATGTGACCCAATATTGCAGTTTTTTGATCGAAAGCACACATATTTTACAGTAGATAGAATGTCACTTTCAGATTGCCTAAAATTACAAAAGATTTAAGTCTGCTGATATTACACAAATAAAAGTATCCTCACATCCTGCATACATTATGTTTCATGTTCAAAATTGTAAACATCTAAGAAGGGTGTCGTTGAAATGTTTTCTTCTATGCGAAATGTTTGATCAAATTATCATATCACAATAATAGGAGAAAGGTACTATCTCTCATCTTAAAGCCGGAATGATTGTAAGATTCGAATAAAAGTCTAAATCTAGTTATCTACAGCATTGTTTCCGCTTTTCACGTGGTAACGACTCGTATGTTCCGTGATAGGAGTTATCTTTCCCTTGTTTTGACACAATATTAAATCTCTCGTCTCAAGGCGGTCGGTTTATCATTCATTCAACCTGTGATGTTTTCTGATTATAAAGCCCATCATTTATCGTTATTTGTCCTATATTGTGATAAGAGTCTTTAAACCAATGCTGCTCTATCCTTCCTACATTTTTATGATTTTTGCTTTAACACAGCAATGATGTTTAATTAAACATCAACATAAGTCTCACAGGGGATAAGAAAGAAGTTTCTTAGTTCATATAAAACCAATACACGGGGACGAATCAAAGTGCTTTCAAAACCAAATCGAATCAAGCAACAATTTGATTACATTTAAATGCCTTACATTTAATACGAAAAACTTCTTCTTGCGGAACAGAGTTTTAAATATGACTTTGAAGAATAAAAATGAAATTTCTAAATGAATGTAAACTTCTAATTTAACGTTCAATGGACTCTTTGTTAGCTCCACTCTGATCTTAAGCCAATTACCGACAACCATTTGCGTAAAATGACAATTACAAGTAGATTGGTTGACGTTATTTTCTATAATAAACACTATTATTAGGTAATTTATGCATTTCTGTTATGAGGCAAAGTTTAAATGTCAAATAAAAATCGTTTTAAAGATTTGTATAATAGAGCTGGAATAATGCCAATCATTTCGACAGATTTTCAAGTAACGTCTATATATGCGATATCGTTTTGTCACTATCCAAAATAACTATTCTCTTTCATAAAATCATGTTTGAATTTCTTCCCTTTTGAATGTAATCCTCTTTGGTCACATGTGTATATTCATCGAATTATATTTTATCAAAGGGTCATTCTTTTTCGACACTTGAATAATAAGATGTAAAACAGACTGTAAAATATTTAAGTGATAACGTCAATAATAATCTCTGTAAAATAGGAATGTGATTCATTAAACTATTTTTGACGCACAGAAAAGTAAAACATCCTCAAACATTAAAGGGACTATGGTAAGATGTGCGTTTGATTTCGGACGAGCGTAATTATAATTCAAATTAGACTATTCTCAAAATTACAGCGCTGTCTGCGAAAAATTTATAAGGATTGTCAGCTTCAAATTAACTCTAGTCGACACTCGCTGTTGTGTCTACCGCCAATTGCGGATCGAAGATAGCCGAGTTTATCATGTGACCTTTCGGAACTTTGTTTTAAACCATCGTTTTGTTACAATTTCTAAACGAACAATAAAGATATGGATTAGTCTTGGGTCGCTGCTATTTTATTTTAATGTTTTGACGCTTTTGATAAAATAGTTATGCAAACATTAAAATGATGTAATTAACAGAACATGCACAACTTTTAACAGCTATTTCAATGTTATAATGATTTTTTATCAGTTATGAAATGAAAATCTAACCATTTTAGTCCCTTTAAGAGAACCTGCAGTAACCAAATATTTACTGAAACAAACGATATTCAGCTGACGACTTCTTCGATATCATATTACATGTCAACTTATAATCCTTAAGTATACTATTACACGACAGCTGTTGACATTGTTTATCGATTGCATGAGACTTGTGTTTTCCGGGACAAAAGAACAATCTGTCTGATCAATACGGTAATGTTCACTGAATTATTAACTATTAGATTCATCAAGCAGGATCTCAGTAAATACGTCACATCCTATCTCTGTATTAAACCTTGTCAATGATGTTGTGAAATAGACACTGGCTTTTATCCGTGAATAGAAAATGAACAATGTCAAAAAGGGGTTATTTTCGTCTCTTTAAGTGACTTTCTATTCAACAAATGTAATGTGCTATTTAAAACCACTGTAATATTTGTAGTCAGTATATGTTAACAAATTATAGATAATACGATATCAATGTAATTGTGCGAACAGACTACATATATTTTTGTATTTCTATACGAGAGATGTGATCATTAAATGTAAAATCATTGTCAAATCCTTTTGGTAATAGTTTTAAATTACCTGTTTAATGCAAAACACACTAAGTGGTTGCACCTGTCAATCTATAGGAAATCAATTCACCTTATTGAATACTTTTCCTTGCTCAACAACATTGTGGGACGTTGATAAAATCTTATCAAATATATTAAATGGTGTGGGAAAACTTGGAACTAAGATTATTTAATGTAGTCAAATGGACAGAATAGCCAAATAAATGTTTAACAAAAGGGTAAATTGCTCAACTAATGGCAAATTGTGGAAGGTGATGTGGAAGGAAATTTGTGTGTAAGTATGTTGTAAAATTACTTTCGTAAACCAACACTTTCCCCATTAACATATGTATATTGTCTACAGTGCAAACTGAACGGAACTGAGGACATTGATTTTTGTGCCTATTTGATGGTTACCTTTGTGATCGTGATGTCATTTCAATTAAACGACGTTGTGTCCATTGTTGGAAGCATTACCATGATTTGCTGTTTTTTATATGTGTGGACAAGAATGGCATTAAAACCAAACCTTTCTCATCTTACATGTGTAATATAAAGTTTCTCTATTTCCCTGGCTTCACCCTGACTGATCTAGGCAGGGACTCAGAAAATAACTTTTTTATTTTGATCAAATAAGGTATTCCCCACCGCACTCACTAGGGCTGTCATTTCATCGAATCGGCTGCCCATTCACATTCGGCTAAAACACAGTATTCATGGACAAAACTGTCTCATCAGGGTAAAAATGTAACTTTCTTGCAGTGCCTTAACATTCAAACTATCAAAAGTTCAATACTTGAGTCATTTAAATTGATATGCATTTCGCTTCAGCAGTTGTTACAAAAAAATTTTTTTGAGCTTTTTTAGTACAGGTTACCTTTCAGTTACGGACACTACAGCAGGTATATAACAAGCACTATTTTATTGAAAACAAGATTCTTTTATTCAAATTTACACAAAAATGTCAAAAGTGTAATGCAAATAACAATGAAACCACATACACTCTCCCTAAAGACAAAATTTTGAACATTTTTGGGGGCATTTACCAAAAAACGAAAACTTTAGACAATTTTATCAACAAACTTTAAGTATTATAAAAAAATCGAACATTTTTCAATGTCAAAAACACATTAAATGACTAGCAAAAACACATTATTCAAAAGTTTGGCAACTTTGAAGTGGAAACAGTGGGCGGTATATGATTTTTTAGCCAATTTGTACACAACAAAAATAATGTCACTTTGGTTACGGACACTACACATTCTGTAACGGCCATATTATACCAATATTTAAATAAAACAAGAGTTTTCTTTTCATATTTACATTGAAATGTGAAAAATGGAATACAAACAACATAATAAAAATGCACTCTTCCTGAGACCGTATTTCAAACGAACAAAAATTGGCGTTTTCAAACAGATATAAAATTTAACTCGATTCATGTATATATGTAACATTTTTCTTCCCTGTAACTCCATGTTCAAAACACATTTACT